ACACCAAGGACTCGTGCCCCAGGAGAGGCCCAATACATAGGAACATGAGTAAAACATTTAGGATTGTGTACACAGGAGAAGGACCATCTATAGAGACATACGTAGAACATCAAAGAATCGTGCTCCAGGTGAGGCCCAATCGATAGGAGCATACGTAAAACACATGGGATTGGAGCCACTCCTGTTGCCTTCTGAGGCCTCCTGCTCCTGGGGCCTCTCGGGGCCTCCTGTTGCCTTCCGAGGCCTCCTGGCGCTTCCTGTTGCCTCCTGGGGCCTCCTGTGGTTTCCTGAGGCCTTCTGGAGCTTCCTGGGGCCTCCTGGAGCCTCTTGGGACATCCTGTGGCCTCTTGAGTCTTTCTGTGGCCTCCTGATGCCTCCTGGGACCTCATGTGGTCTCCTGGGGCCTCCTGGAGCCTGTTGGAGCCTCCTGTGGCATCCTGAGAAGAATCTGCGCCCACGAGCCTGGCCACCAAAACAAGCAAACCGATCGAGACATCCTCAAAATCTGGCCCACCTGGGGGGTGAAAATGAGCGCCTCGCTCGAGACATCCTCCAAATCTGCTCCGAAAGCGAAGGATGTTGGGCACAGAAACAGGCAAACCGCCTGAGACATCCCCACAAAATGGCCGCGAACGAGCCCGTGCAACCACCCCTGGCGGCTCCCCTTAGGGGTGCTGAAATGAGCGCCTCGCTCGAGACATCCTCCAAATCTGCTCCGAAAGCGAAGGATGTTGGGCCCAGAAACAAGCAAACCGCCTGAGACATCCCCACAAAATGGCCGCGAACGAGCCCGTGCAACCACCCCTGGCGGCTCCCCTTAGGGGTGCTGAAATGAGCGCCTCGCTCGAGACATCCTCCAAATCTGCTCCGAAAGCGAAGGATGTTGGGCCCAGAAACAGGCAAACCGCCTGAGACATCCCCACAAAATGGCCGCGAACGAGCCCGTGCAACCACCCCTGGCGGCTCCCCTTAGGGGTGCTGAAACCAGCGCCCCGCCTGAGACATCCTCACAATCTGCTCTCCAAGCGAAGGATGTTGAGCCCAGAAATACTGTGTATGAGTAAGTCTGGGTATGAGTGAGTCTGTGTATGAGTACGTCTGGGTGTGAGTAAGTCTGCGTATGAGTATGTCTGTGTATGAGTATGTCTGAGTGTGAGTAAGTCTGAGTATGAGTAGGTCTGAGTATGAGTAAGAGTATGAGTAAGTCTGTGTATGAGTAAGTCTGAGTATGAGCAAGTGTGAGTATGAGTAAGTCCGACAGGAGGGGAGGAGAAAAGAGGAGGAGGAAGGAGGAGGAGTAGGAGGCGTCCAAGTAATAACAAGAACCCCATCTTAGGATATGGGGAAAAAGGTCCACCACGAAATCCCAACGAACATCCAATAGGCTTCATACCTACAACCTAGGCGCAGTGGCGGGAAGGCCATTCGATAGAGAGGAGTCCGAGGTGCAACAGAGAATCATGAGTCCAGAGGGCGAGGCTCAGGCCTGGATGTCTCACCTGAACCCTTCCTGTCGTACTCGGAAAGGCACCCGACAACAAACGAATCAAACATACGTCGCTCAATTGGGGTCGGCGGCAGAGGCGGCAGCCTTTCGATTGTGTGTAAGAACACACTCCAGAAAGTCTTCTTCCCTACCGCTTTTTCGATTTATTTGTTGAACTTCTGCAACTGGTTTCCTACATCGATTTTGGCCAACAAATCGTCGATCTTCCTGGTGGTTTCTTGTGCTTTCTTTCCGGCCACTTTGAAACTATCCTCCATCAGAGGGGCGCCCATCGCCTTAAGTTTATCAACGCTCTCGCTTGCGACTCGTTCGGGCAACTTGGCCAACTCGCCCGGTGAAGACCTTCACCCTGCCCAACTTTTCACATCGCCGAGGGGCCGTTTCAAAGCCAACATCATGCTCTCAAGATCATTGAGAATAGTTCACGGAATTCGCCTCGGGCATTTTTTCGACCTGGCGCTGGAAATGATCGAGAAGTTTGGGACACTGCGTCACCTCGTGGGCATCGAAACGCCCGGTGATCTGCATCGACTCGCAGATCTGGTCCAACAGAGTACCGTCTGTATCCGTCAAAGGACGGAGCTTTTGATGGACCTTCTCGTGCTCTTCAAGAGCACGCTCAGTCGCCTTCACAGTGTCCTGCGTGTTGGAGGCCACGAGCAGCTTGCACGCCGCGCGGCACTCTGCCGCAACGTCGACGAGGCCGCCACCAAAATCAACACGCAAAGTAGCAGGACTATTCTGCATGCCCCCCCCCGACCTGCTTAATTTGTTTTGGGGGTGCCTGCATCATGTCAAGATGCTGCCCCTGTGAGTTGAAAGTGGACAATGTCGTCTTGCTCTGGTCCACGCACTCCTGGGTAAGTCTGGGGGTCTCCTCGATCTTCACGATTTATCAATACCTCATGAAGACGAGCACCATCTTTCGACAATTCCAATATCAAAGTGGGGAGACCTAAGGCATCTCGATGTCTAACCCATGGGCGCACCGCAGCGCTGGCATCTATGGTGGATGACAGAAACTCTCCAAAACTCGATACTGTTCCCCTGAACTTTGCGCAATCCGATGTACTCTTCTTCAAACAAATTACACAGCTGCGCAACGTTGTCCCACCCTTGACAATTTTGAAAATATTCTCTTTCTGTCCGAGAGAATATGTCCATAGTTCGGACAGCCCGTTCACTTGTCGAGGAAGCTCTCCAAACGCTGTGACTGACTTGCTTAAGAATTCGGCGGCTTGTGACGCTGTCTCTGCAGCTTTCTGCGTCCGCTCCTGATTGCCGCGAATGACCGCCAACTCGTCCTTCACCGAATTGACTGACATCGCCAATGACTGCAACCGATCACCCACCTTCTCGTGAAGCTCAGTAACAGATCCTGAACTCCTCCCGAATGTCCCCTTGAAGCTCTGCCATCATACGAGACATGAGGTCTTTCTGCTTCTTCCAAGACTTCGCAGTGAGGTCCTCGAGCGTCTCGGCATTTAATTCACCACCACCCTTTAAGCTTGCGGTTGCCTGCTCCATCATCTCGCGGGCCTGAGTTGTTTCGCTTTTTATTGTAAAGAACTCGCTTCGCCACTCGTTTGACATTGCGAGCAAGTAATCAGCGTAGGTCTTCACTGTTCCAACACAGTGCCTCTCTCTTCGATGTGCAGGCTCGCTGGCAGGATTGACATAGCGAGGGAATTCCAAGGCAACACCATCTTCCCGACCGGTGGCTTGAGGGTGGATGGACGTCAGCTGAATCGAGTGACGTCGATTCGGGGCGATGAAATTTGATTCACGTCGAGGAGATGTTGAGAAAGACGCTCGTCTCGCCGTCATAGCTTGATTGCGGTGCCGATATACCTGCGACAATTACGTCACTCGAGACGTGAGCCGACATGGCTACGGACCGTTTGAAGCCCTCTTGGGCTGTCTTCAAGCCATGTTGGACCAATTCTGAAACGCTCTTGTGCGGTCTTGGACTCTCTTGGAGCGCTCTTGGGTCATCTTGGCGCCCTCTTGGACGTCTCTCAGGCCCTCTCGTCGCCCCCCTTCCCCTCCTTTGACGCGTTCTGGTACCCCCGCCGGGTTCAAAACGGCCGGAAGACAAATCAGTGAACTCCGGGGCCCCCGGGACCCCCTACCCAGTCTTTCTTTATTTTGCTACTGAATAGAAAGATGCAAACCAGCTTCTTTTCAAAACGAAGCTCTCGCATGAATGACAGGCTCATGGGGTGGTTGACTCTCAAGGGTGTCTTATCGTAGTGAGAAGGAAGGCTCCTAGAGACTTACGAGGCGGAGACTTGACTTTGGACGGGAGGGTGTATTGCAGCATCGTTGGTGCACCCTGGGTTTACTGTGATCCTCGTTCTCCTCCCCTCCCCCTCTCCTCCTCCAACATATATCCTTTCTTTGATTAGACATAAACGGACCCCACAATCCTTTGGGAACTTTGGGAGGCGACCTAAGTTATGAGAGCCAGGAACATGAGGGATAGGGGGCCCTTTCTGCAGATGTGTATGGCCAAGCCACCCAGATCTATCATCCCTAATGCGGCGACGCGGTATTATTGCGGTTCGGGGCTCTTTTGTTCGCGATGACCCCTCGCCAGCGAGTGCAGGCCGTCAGCATGGTGCTGGCTGCGAGGCTGGCTGGGACAACCGACTCGCTCATAGGACAGAACCCGTGCCACGGAAGCTGTGCGCCTCCTGTGCTGCGAAGGCCCAGCGCCAGGCTTCCGCTCGCAAGGAGTGCAGGCCGGCTGACCCCCGCGCCGCACAGGGCACACGGAGCCGGCCCTGGTGGGGCACCCCAGCACGGGCCTACGACAAGGCCAGGACGAGGCAAGCATCGGGTGAGGATAAATCGAGAACCTCTGAGATCCGGCGGCTCTGGAGGATGTCTCGGGCGCCGCGGCCTTCTCGGAGCATGCGTTCCGGAGCGCTCTGGAACAGATGCATCCTCGTCCCAGCCCCGTCCGAGGTACCTCTCTGTTTCCCCAGAGTTGGGCAGGGGGAGGAGGCTCGTGGAGCATGGCCACCGCGTGCCCTCCGAAGGCCAAACAGACCACACGGGCCTCATTTCCTGACCCCCCGCCGGTTTCCCCGCCGCCCGCGGAAGGGTCGACAAGGGCCTCGGCGGAAGCTCTTCTCCGAGCTCCAGCAGGCCACTGCGGGGCCGAGAAGCACATCTCCAGCGGATCGCATGCGCTCTGACAAAACAGCGACCCGCAAGGCAGGCCTATCTGTAGACGGGGCCTGGAGCTTCCATGAGCCACGGCCTGCCCGACGAGAGCTCGAAGCAGGATTTTTGAGACCCCGCTGCGCTAGTGGAGCACTCCCCGCGCACCTCCAGGTCACAGACCACCCTGGCCTGTCCTCGGCCCCTTCCCCTTGCCACCTCCTCCCTCCCTCCCTTCTCCCCGCCCGCCTGTCCCCTCCCCCCCTCCCACCGAGAGGGAAGCGAGGGAAGGAGGCGGAGGCGCCCACTCACTTCCCGCGCTGTCCTGGTGAAACATCCACAGCTGCGGGATGAGCGCCATCGCCGACATCACCTTGCGACGTGCTGCCGAGGGCGTCTCGCTCGGATTGCAGACGGGAGCGGCGGGGGGGGGGGGGGGGCGAACGGCACTGCGGATGACAGCGAGATGGGAGAGGAGGGGAGGAGGAGGAGGAGGAGGAGGAGGAGGAGGAGGACGAGGAGGAGGTGGAGGAGGAGGAGGAGAAGGAGGAGGAGGAGGAGGAAGAGAAGGAGGAGGAGGACGCAGCTAAGAGGGAGAAGGCGGCGAGGAAGTAGGAGGAGGAGGGGGAGAAGAGGAGGAGGAAGCGAGGGACGAGGGGGAGGAAACTCGACGCAGGATGCCATCAGGCGTGCTAGCAGTGGCCCCGCCTGCAGGGATGCGACGGCTGCCCGTGGCCCCACTGCTCCCCAATCGCGCCTCCTCTCGATACAGTTCCGCGCTGAAAGCGAGTATAGTTGCAGAGAATGGCATACGTCGAGCAATCGAGCAGCTGCACGCCGAACATGACACGCCGACTGGGGCGCGCTGGTGTTGATGCACCTCTTGCGCGGTGCCCCCCCGCGGAAATAAACCTAGCATCTACCGCAATGTAATCATTGCCTGTATCGTAGTGACCGTCTCTCTCTCTCTCTCTCTCTCGCTCGTTCGCACTCGTTTTTGTGTCCTCCCTACCTCCCTCCTCGCCACCTCCCCTCCTCTCGGCTCTCTTGTGCCGTCTTCCTCTTCTCATCATCATCCTCATCGCGCGCCCCGCGAATTATCTGAAGAGGGTCTTTGGGCGACCACTGTGCGGCTGAAGAAATGTCCGTGGAATGTTGGGAATCTCCCGTTGAGACCGTTGGATCTCTAAGGCCGCCTGGGACGCCATGAAGACTGCCGAAGCGAGGAGGACGACGACGAAGACATGGACGGATACAACCTCTCTGGTCGATGTATCCTCTTCATTCCGTTCCCTCCTCCTTCATCATCCTACTCATCGATCCGCCTCCTGGTCCGTCCTCCCTTCCTTCTGCATAGTCCTTTCTGCTTCCTGTCCCTCCTCGTCCTTCCCTACATCTTGCCTTCTTCTTCGGCTTCTCCGTCTTCTTCTCTTCTTGTCCCTCCTCCTCGTCACCCAGTATCATCCCCATTGTCTCGATTCGACCAGCATTCCCTGAAAGGCGTCTGGGCGCATCGAATTGGATGTTACTAGGAAGGCTTGCAAAAACATCGGCTGTGAAGCTCCCCGAAGCCGCGCGTCGCCCGGCCAAGGACAGCGGATGCGAGCCACATGCGAAAACTGTGCCTGGTGAGAGTGGGAGGAAGGGAGGAGGCGAAGGAGGAGGAGGCGGAGGAGGAGGAGGCGGAGGAGGAGGATAAGGAGGAGGAGGGAGGGAGGGAGGGAGGGAGGGAGGGAGGAGGAGGGAAGGGAGGAGGAAGAGGAGGAGGAGGAGGAGGAGGAGAGGAGGAGGAGGAGGGAGGAGGAGGAGAGGAGAGAGGAGGGAGGGAGGAGGGAGGAGGAGGAGGAGGAGGAGGAGGGAGGAGGCCATGGGGGGGGTTTTGTTGAGGGCGGCGGCCGGGGCTTCCTGGGGGCAGACCTCCACCCCAGATCGTGGGGCCCTCTCGAGCTACCCGTGGCCAGCGCATGTTCCCCGCGGGACCTCGTGGGCGCCCGCTGCGGGCCTTCTGCAGGGCTTCCCGGGTGCCTCTTGAGCGGTCTCCTCGCGGCTTCCTGGGGACCTCCTCGGGGTCTCCTGGGGGCGTCTTGGGGGGGGGGGCCCTGTGGGAGCTCCTCGACTGTCTCGGGGAGCGTCCTGGAGAGCGGCTGGACGATCTGGAGAGCCATGCTGGGGGGGAAGGGCCATGGGGCAGGGCAGGTCCAGATTCCCCCTCTCTCTCTGGCCTCTTGGGGGGTGTCTTGCTTGCGCCCCTCTTTAGAGCTCGGGGTCAGTCTTTGGGCGATCTCGGTGTCCTTTTGGGTTTATTGGGAGCTGCGGAGACATGAAAACGAGCGAAGGCCAGCATCATTCAACGGAAACGACGTGATGTATCACACTCGTTTAAACATTTTCGGACAGTTCCCTGGTGAGGGCCCAAGGGAGTTCCAAAACAGACCAGAGACGCTTAGGCCACCCAGGGAGGACCATCTGGGGGATTGTCTGGGGCCACCTTGGGCCTTCGCAGACGCTCTTGACACCGACAAGGCGTTGCAACTATGATAGTATAGAAAAACACGCGTTGTTGAATCATGCTTGCGTTTTCGGTCGGCTTCCTTGGCTTCCATGGCTGCCCCAGAGGGACCCTAGAGATCTCCAAAACGGACCCCTGAGACGTCGTCCAACACTGTGGGCAGCCCAGGGGCGTCCAGAACACCCCTCGAATGCAAAATCAGAGCCAATCGGGGCGCCTGGACCATCTACGGAGGACCGTGTTGGAATCACCCAGGAGGCTTCTTGAAAATTCGCGCCGCGTCGGCGATGTATCGGCGACGTCGGCGGCGCATCGGCGACGCCGGCGTGGAGAAACTCGGGCTCCACATCGAGCCGCTTCGCCGATGCATCGGCGATGCGGAGCGATCCTCCGACCCCATCTGCTCGGACCCCGTCTGGGAGGCCTCGCAAAGCAGACCCCTGGGAGAGATCGCCCGACTCTAGGGTCGATTCGGGGTCCAGGAAGCCTGGCCGGAGGCGGCCCTGGGACCGAACCCGACGGCCCTGGACCCGCAAAAACGACGGCCGCGGCGACCTCTCGCGAACCGAACACGGCCCATTCGCTAATCGACGCGCCAAGAAAGGAGGTCTGTCCACCCCCGATAGGTTCGGGGTCCAGGAAGCCTGGCCGGAGGCGGCCCCTGCACCGCCCGCTCTCGCTCCTACACCCCGCGCGCACCCCAGGGGCGGGGCTGCTGTCAGCGCATCCGACCCCGCGCCCCCCCCCTCGCCCCCCCCGCGCCCCAAGACGGAGCGGCCGTCGGCGCATCTGCCCCTGCGCCCACACTCGCGCCCCCCATCGCTGCCACCCCCCCCGCGCCACAAGCCAGGGCTGCCAGTGCGTCCGATCCCGCGCCCCCCCCGCGCGGTGCCTCGTAGAAACAGCAGTAGTAGCTCACGGCGAACGTCGACGGCGACCTGGCGCGCAGCCCACCCTCCGAGGCCCCGCCACTTCCCCCTCCCGGACCCCTCCCCATCTCCGTCCCCATTCCTTCTTCCTCCTCCTCCTCCTCCTCCTCCTCCTCCTCTTCCTCGTTCTCGTCTTCTTCCATCCTCATACCTCCTATCCCTTCCCACCTCCCATTGGTCCTCGTCCTCATCCTCCCGCCCTCCTCCCCCTCCTCCCATCCTCATCCTCCCATTCCCCATCCCTTCTCCCCTCCTCCTCCCCTCCCACTCCTCCCCTCCCCCTCCCCCCTCCTCCCCCTCCCTTCCTCCCATCCTCCCCCCCGCTTCCCCTTACTCCACGCCCTTTCCTGCATTCCCGTCTCCCTCCCAATCCTCATGGCGCAGCGGTGGTGGGCCGTCTTATGCAGTACCACACGAGTGCCATCGCCGTTATCACGACGTAAAGGAAGGACATGGCCACAAAGTTCCGCCTGTAGCTGCCAGGCTCCTGCTTGTTGGCCTCGGGAGCGCGGGGGCCGCGGGGAGGCAACCCCCTCGCCCCCACCCCATATCCCCTTCCCCCTCTTCCCCACCGCACCCCTCTCCCCTCTTCCTCTTCTTTCCTCTCCCCACCGCCCCCCTCTCCCCCTCGCCTCCCCGGCGCTCGCGCACGTTCGATGGTGGGCCTCAGGCGGACAAGAAGGTGCACGGGCGATCGTTATCCTTGTCCCGCCTAGCACCTAGCATCGTGCGGCTGTTCGTTTTCAGATCCTTTGTAGTGCATTCCCATGAACGGGGGAGGAAGGGCGAGGGGGGAACGAGCCCGGCCCGGCCAAGGAGAGGGAAGGAGGGCGGGGAGGCGAGGGCGAGATGGGGCTGCAGGGAGGACACGGACTGGAGTGGACCAGAAGCGGGGAGGGGAGAAGCCCACGCGGCTCGAACACTACATGCGCGCACCCGCCTGGCGGTGCCGCCGGGCACGAGCGATCAACCGGCGTGCACTGGGCTCCCATGCAGGCGGCAGGCGATACCAGCGACGCCGGTCAGAACAAGCAGTAATCCATCCAGCATGGAAGAGAAGGTGAGCAGAGAAGGAAGTGGTCAGAGAAGGAGAGCACTGCCAGAGGAGTGTGCTGAGCCTGCGCCGGGCCCCCCCCCCCCTGGATGCCGCCTCGTCTTCTTCGAGTGGAGGGCCGGGGAGTTGCCAGGGAGTCGGGGGAGGGCCGGGTGAGAGGGCAACGGCGGCTCTCAACTCCGCCCAACGTGGGCCCCCCGCCGCCTCGTCTTCTTCGAGTGGAGGGGCGGGGAGGTGCCAGGGACCCAGACCCCCGACGTCGTGGTTTTTTCACGACGCTGACCCCCAGAGGTCTGGACCCTTTCCCCTGGACTGGTTTCTCATCCCGAGTCGTTTCTTGACGCTCCCGAGGACTGGGGAGGGCCCCCAGAGGCCGAAAATTGCGAAAAACCTCCCGTCGTGATTTTTTCACGACGCGAGGAGGTCTGGGGAGTCGGGGGAGGGCCAGGTGAGAGGGCCACGGCGGCTCGCAACTCCGCCCAGCGTGGGCCCCTGGGCCCCGCCCAGGGTGCCCCTCCTGGCCCGGCGCTCGGGGCGGCTCCGGCCGTGGCGACGAGGGGCCTCCCGGAGGCCCAGGGGCGAAGGCGAGGGCGCCCGGAGGAGGGCCCGCCGTGGTCTCGGCTGGCCCCCCTTCTCCGGAGGGGGAGGCTGCGATGGCCACTTGGAGAGCCGGCGTGGGCTGCTGCGGGCACCAGCGGACCAGTGGAGGGCGCGGAAGCGGAGGGTGCAGTCGGACCCAGGACAGAATAACATCCTTCAAGGGCATGAGGCCCTCCGCCAGCCAAAACGCACAGAACGTCCGAGGGTACCCTCCCCAGGGTTTGCAAGGACATCCACCAAGTTATCCCAGTGCGACCCTACCTAGGAGTTGGAGCATTTAGGAAAGCAGCATCTACATCTACACCGACAGCTACAGTTACATCTACACCTGCATCTGCATCTACATCTACATCAACAGCGAGACTCACATCTACATCTACACCTACACCTACACCTACATCTACATCTACATCTACACCCACATCCACATCCACATCTACATCTACATATATTATGATATGCTATACTATGCTGAGCTATGCTATGCTATGCTATGCTATGCTTGGCTATGCTATGATATGCTATGCTATGCTATGCTGTGCTAATGCTGCGCTGCGCTGAGCTAAGCTAAGGTAAGCTAAACTATGCTAAGCTAAGCTAAGCTAACCTAGGCTAGGCTAAGCTAAGCTAAGCCAAGCCAAGCCAAGCTAAGCTAAGCTAAGCTAAGCTAAGATGAGATAAGCTAAGCTAAGCTAAGCTTAGCTTAGCTAAGCTGGGTGAACCCACGGGGCGCAACTGGGGGAACCGCGGGGCGGATGCCGGGGGAACCGCCCGGGGCGTGGAACACTGCCCGGCCCTTTAAGCTTACCGAGTAAGAACCCTTCTAGGCAGAGCCTAGGTAGGGAATAACACGAAGAACACTGGGGCACCCTTCCCGAACCGACCTTGATCTTACACCTCGGTCCGACTGTGGGGCGAATGGGGGACGGGGATAACGGCAACGAGGAGAAGGAGGAGCCGTAGGGAGGGAGGGAGGGAGTGGTGTAGAGAGCAGAACATACGCCCTCATGATAAGCGCCCCGAGGAGACGCCGACATACCATCCCCAAGCGCCTACGATGGCCTCACGACGGCCCAACAGGCCTTCAAGACGCCCCAAGAGGTCCCTAAGCGGCGCCCCAAGAGGGCTCCCACAAGCGAAAATCGTCTCATTCCCTTGGGAAAACGTACATCTTTTACATATCCGCCTCTTCGTCATGAGAAGCGCCCCGAGGATTTTGGCGACGCAATTTTGGTAATCGAACGCGCCCCGAGGAAGGAAATCGAACGGGGCAGGGCTGTTTCGGGAACGCCCACGGCCGTGCAGTGCACACCCATGATCGGGGTCAGGGTGTCTTTTGCTCCCTCCTCCTCCTCCTCCTCCTCCTCCTCCTCCTCCTCCTCCTCCTCCTCCTCCTCCTCCTCCTCCCCTCCCCCTCCCCCTCCCCCCTCCCCCTCCCCCTCCCCTCCGCCCGCCCTCCCCCTCCTCCTCCTCCTCCTCCTCCTCCTCCTCCTCCTCCTCGATGGTGGGAAAGATGGCTTCCCACGGGCGGAGGCAAGCCACGGCACTGAGAATCCGGAGCTCCGGCCGCTCCAGTCTGTTCGCTGCGTGGCCCCCGGAGGTCCAGACCGCTTCCCCAAGGCCCGTTTTTTCGTCCCGGGTCGCTGGCCATCGCTCGGCCGTCCATTCCCCGTACTTTTTTCGGTTTCGTGCGTGGTTTTTTCGCCAGATGGTCGAGGATGCTCCTCGAAGGTCCTCGCCGAGAAAAAAAATGCACACGTCCGAGCGATGCCAGGGTCGTCGTTGGACACTTCCGAGGCCCGGCGAGGGCCCCAGGAGGCCGAAGACGGCCAAACACCGCCCGCCCCAATCTTTTCGGAGGCGGAGCCGCGGCATCGCGACCAGGTGGGGGGGGCGCGCGCCTTCGGCAGCAGGCCAAGCTTGTCGTAAATCTGAATGCCTCGGAGCGGACGCGGCGGGGCTGACGGGCAACGCCACCACGGCGCGCTGGCAGGGCGACACAAAAAAAACCGCCGCGGCGAGTTCTGGCGACGCATGGCCCGCATCGGAAGAGGGAAGTGGGGCATTGATCGAAAGCGGGCAGCGGGACGTCGGACTCAGAAGACACTCTTTCTGATGCCGATAAGCCACATGCCACAAATCTATAGATGCATCCTTGCAGAAAGAGAAACAGAGTGCCGAAAGAGAGAGAGAGAGAGAGAGAACGATAGCAAGAAAAGCAACCAGAGCAAGATAGACAGGGAACGCAATATAATACAGATGGCCGCAGGGTCAACTATAACATCGTCACGGGCCCCATGGCGGGCCCCATCATCGTCAACGGTAGGGAGGAGCGGGGTAGGGGGTGGGGTGGGGAGCGAAGCAGGCGACGAGGCAGAGCAGGGAGGACAGAGATGGAGAGAGGTGAGCTGGATGGGGAGGGAACGCGCGAGGAGAGGACAGGGGAGGGCGCTGTGGAAGGGGGGAAGGGAGGGGCTCGAGGAAGTGGGAAGGGAACGGGGGAACCGAGTGGACGGGGGGCGGGAGATGGGCTACAGGAAGGTGGATGGAGTCAGCCAGGGGACCGCCGTCGCGGCCGAGGGGCGAGGGGGAGGGAGACGGGGCGGAAGCCGAACGAGAGAAGGCTGGCGGTGGGAAGCCGCTCGGCAGCGCAGAGGGGCGGGTGGGCGCGGGGGCGGGCCGAAATTGTCCTTCTCCGCCTCGTACGAGGTGTGATAATACGACCTGCGGGCCGCGCAGGACCAACCCCTGGCCATCCTCGTGGTCGTCGTCGACGCCGCCGCCGTCGCCTGTCGTCGCTGCTGCCGTCGCCGCTGCTGCCGACGTCGTCGTCCGCCTCGTCGCCCAACGCCGGCAGGCGAGAAGAGGAAGAGGAGGAGGCGGAGGAGGAAGAGGAGGAGGAGGAGGAGGAGGAGGAGGAGGAGGGGGAGGGGGAGGAGGAGGAGGAGGAGGAGGAGGAGGAGGAGGAGAGGAAGAGGAGGAGGAGGAGGAGGAGGAGCAGGAGAGGTTGAGGAGGAGGAGGAGGAGGAGGAGGAGGAGGAGGAGGGGGAGGAGGAGGAGGAGGAAGAGGAGGATGAGGCGGCGGACACACATGTTTTTTTTGCGTCGGCGGCTGGGCAGAGGTTACTGCTCCGGCGATCGGGCATCAGTGGGGCGCGCTGGATGCAAATTGGGCCGCACTGCGCGTGGGAAGAGGGACACACACACACACGAACACAGACACACACACAGACAAACAAACACAAATACACACACACCACACAAACACACAAAAAACGCACGCACGCACGCACGCACGCACGCACGCACGCACGCTCGCACACACACAAACACACACACACACACGCACACACACACACACATGCACACACGCACACACCGTCCCGCGTCCCGAATCCCCTCTCCACGAGACCCTACTAGCAGCCCTCTCATTACAGGGAGCGCGCGCGCCCGAAAGACGACCACACCATAGGCCCACCATTCAAGCGAGAGCCCCGTTCTGACAAGAAGCCGTCCTCTGGGAAATCCCACCAGCGCTCTGTGCGGTTCCTCCTCCATCTTCTCTCTTCTCTTTCGGGGATGGGGCTATCACTGCTCCTCATGAACATACACCCCCTCCCCCGCCCGACTGGCGGCAAACCCGGGACCATGCGGGCACCCACACCACCATCCCTTGCAACAAAAACTATAAAAGGTGCACGTTGTACCAAAATCTGGATCATGCGCGGACGCCCCGCGAGCGCTTTTCATGGGATTTTGACAGGGGCGGCGCGTGTGCCAGCACATTGCCTGCTGTGTGCAACGCCAACAGCCCCCACAATCCCCTGCAAAAAAACAATCCGCCACCGTGCCGCTGAGCGTGGAGCGGGCGCGTCCTCAGCTCCACTCCCTCGATCCTCGATCCTGAGGGTTCCCATAGCTCCGTTCCCTCGATTCCCTCGATTCCCTCGATCCCCTGACCCCAGTCCTCGATCCTGGGGGTTCTCACAGCTCCATTCCCTCGATTCCCTCGATCCCCTGACCTCCAGTCCTCGATCCTGAGGGTTCCCACAGCTCCTTTCCCTCGATTCCCTCGATCCCCTGACCTTCGAGGAGTTGGAGGAGGAGGAGGAGGAGGAGGAGGAGGAGGAGGAGGAGGAGGAGGAGGAGTTGGAGGAAGGAGGAGAGAGGAGGAGGAGGAGGAGGAGGAGGAGGAGGAGGAGGAGGAGGAGGAGGAGTCCTCGATCCCGAGGGTTCTCACGGGGCCCGGGCCCCGAATCTCAGAGACCTCCTCGGGCTCGCCGCGTGCCCCCCGGGGCCTTTTGGCTCCCCCTCCCGCGCGATGCTGACGGGCCGAGGAGGGCCCCCGGGACGGGTCAAGATGGGCCTCCAGAGGCCTCCTCCTCCTCCTCCTCCTCCTCCTCCTCCTCCTCCCTCCTCCTCCTCCTCCTCCCTCCTCCTCCTCCTCCCTCCTCCTCCTCCTCCTCCTCCTCCTCCTCCCTCCTCCTCCTCCTCCTCCTCCTCACTAGGACCCGAAGTCGCCGAACGATCGCTCTAAGACGCCCACGATGGCCCCAAGACGGCCCAGGAGGCCTCAACGAGGCCTCCCAAGAACGTCCCAAGAGGCCCACATCATAGATGTTCCTCAAGTGTTTGAAAGTCGGTCGTCTCGCCTACTCAGCTTTCAGACGCTCGAAGACAGCCCAAGACGCCCCGAAGATCGCCCCAGGACGGCCCAAGAGGCTCCCAAGACGCCCCGAAGATGGCCCAACACGACCACGAGACGGCCCAAGAGGCGCCCAACAACCCAAGAGGGCCCCAGGACAGTCGAAACGGGAGACCCAGAGAAGGACAACGAACCGAAAATTCTAGCCTTCCGCCCCGAGATGGCTCGAGGTCCCAAGAACGCCCCAGGAGGCCCCAAGAGGCCCCCAAGAGGCCTCCAAGAGGCCCCAAGAAGCCCCCAACAGGCCCCCAAGAGGCTCCCAAGAGACCCCCAAACTGCCCCCAAGAGACAGCCGAGAGCGCTCCGAAGAGACCCCAAGAAGCCATGAGAACTCTAACCCACAGCCCAGGCATGGTGGCGGAATGGGCCGAAGGCCATCCATATAGAAAGTGCCACATTCGCATGGGTCTTTGGCAGGGCCGGCGGGGGGGGCAGCGTATTGCCTGCTGTGCGCAGTGGCGACACCTCTCAACAATCCTTCGCAACAAAAGCAATCCAAGGTTTGGGCGCCCGAGTTATCCGGGGTAACTCGGGTCCGGGGTAACTCGGGTTTGGATTCCCGAAAATGGAACCCGAGTTATCCCTGACCCGAATTACCCCTGATGATTCTGGGGCTCTGAACGCCCGAGTTATCCGGGGTAACTCGGGTCCGGGGTAACTCGGGCTTGGATTCCCGAAAAAGGAACCCGAGTTATCCCTGACCCGAGTTACCCCTGATGATTCTGGGGCTCTGGACGCCCGAGTTATCCGGGGTAACTCGGGTCCGGGGTAACTCGGGCTTGGATTCCCGAAAAAGGAACCCGAGTTATCCCTGACCCGAGTTACCCCTGATGATTCGGGGCTCTGAAAGGTGCTCTGTGCACCAAAAGCCGGATCAGGCGCAGCAGCCCCGCGATCCACTCGGAGCGGCTTCTGCGCAGGGACGGCGGGGGGGCTGGCACGTGGCCTGCTGCGCGCAGGCCCACCGCCCCTGCCAACCGAACATGCAACAATTACTCTGCCAGGGACGGCGGAGGAGGAGGAGGCGGAGGAGGAGGAGGAGAAGGGAGGAGGAGAGGAGGAGGAGGGGGAGGAGGGGGAGGAGGAGGAGGAGGATGAGGAGGAGGAGGAGGAGGAGGAGGAGGAGGAGGAGGAGTGGGAGGAGGAGGAGAAGGGAGGAGGAGGAGGAGGAGGAGGAGGTGGAGGAGGAGGAGGAGGAGGAGGATGAGGAAGGGTCGATTCTCCAGCCAAATGCACAGGTGGGGCGGCATCCTGCCTGATGTGCACCGGCCCGCCATCCCTGGCAGAAACAGGTGCGCAGTTGTGGCGTGTACCAGCCCAGACTCGGGCCGGGCGAAGAGGGGGATAGCAAAGGGGTGGTTTGAGAATCAGCTCACGTAGCTGATCTTCCTGGCGCCTCCCGGCGCCGGGAGGCGCCCATGTATCGAGGAATGGGCCCGACGGCGGGGCCGAAACCAGCTGCACGCAGCAGATTTCGTAACCCCCCCTTTCCCAATCCCCCCCTTTCGTCCAGCCCGACAGACCCGCCGTCACCCTGCATCGATTGTTGACATGGCCGGGGGGGGGCTCGACATATTACACACATCGCCGAGCGTGGCCCACCTGGTGCGCGTGGCGCACCTGGTGCGCGTGGCGCACCTGGCATGTGCGGCGCGCCTCAGGGGTTTCGCGCGCCTAGCTGGCGCCTGCATGTGTTCTCGATGGTTGTCGATGGCGGCCAATGCCTATGCTGAGACTCGGGTGCTACTTTTATGTAGTGGGAGGGCGCGTGGGAGCGATCGAAACAGTTTGCGGCATTTTCGATGACAGTTTGGCCCCTCCCCGTACCCCCTCCCCTGGATCTGCAGGGGGAGAGTCGCGGGTCGTTGGAGCGTCCAAGATGGCCAAAGCTGGCTCCAAGAGGGCCTCAGAGAGCCCAAGATGACCTCGAAGATGGCTCAATATTGCCTACGATGGCTCCAACGGTTCCTAACAAGTTCCAGCAAAACCGCTCCAAATGGCCATACGGCGTCCCAAAGAAACCATCAACCGGCCCAAATCCGTTTAAACACCTCAGGCAAATCAATGTTGTTTGCTCCTTCTCGTCTTTTCGCGTTCGGTTGCCCGCAGAGGCGTCCAGCTGGCTCCAAGAAGGCCCAAGAAACCCCCACGAGAGCCCCAAGACGGCTCCAAGAGCGCCCAAGAGCCCTCCAAGAGCGAGCTCAGAGGCGCGAAGATGGCCTAACGATGTTTCCGTTCCTCATCCAAAGTCCCTCTTCCCTTCGGGGAGGGGGTTTGCCCTCCCTCTCCCCTCCCTGGTCGATGCACCCCAGACATCCAGCTGCTCCAATGTTTTCGATGCGTGGGCCCTGGGGGTCCGGGCCACTTCTCTTGGGCCAGATTCTCGTCTTGAGCCGGTCCTTGACGCTCCCGAAACCCCGCGAGGGCCCCCAGAGGCCGAGAACGGCCCCAGACGCGCCTGCTTTAATTTTTGTTTGGGGGGAGCGTCGGATCTCGGGGGCGCGAGGGATTAGAGCGTCCGAGGAGGCCTCGGCGAAAAGGCGAATCTTGCGCAGGAGTTGGGCCCAGCTTGGCCTCCTGGGGGGAGTGCCCCAGCAGGGCCCCAGGAGGCCCCGAGAGGCCCTCGAGAGGTCCCCAAGAAGCTCCCAAGAGACCCCCAAGAGGCCCCCAAAGGCTCCCCCGAGGCACCCAAGGCGCTCCAAGAGGCCCCCCCCAGACCGCCAAGAGGCCCCCATGACGCCCCGGGAGGACTCCACGAAGATCTCAAGAGACATCCGAAAAGACTCCCAGAGGCATCCAAGAGGCCTCTGGCCGTCCTCCTCGTCCTCCTCGTCCTCCTCCTCCTCCTCCTCCTCCTCCTCCTCCTCCTCCTCCTCCTCCTCCTCCTCCGGACACCGTCATCCAGGATCTGAGGCAAGTTGCAGCCATGGCCTACCCTGGCTGCAGAGCGGGCAGGTCCACGCCCCCCACCCGCCTCCTGGAGGGAGCGGGCCCCGCCGTTCGGGCGAGCGCGGGCCCA